ATGCCTATAATCCCAGCACATTGAGAGGCAGAGGTGGGTGGATTACTTGAGGCCAGGAGTTTGAGAACAGCCTGGCCAACATGGTGAAACCCCGTCTCTAGTAAAAATATGAAAAAAAAATAGCTGGATACGGTAGCATGCCTGTAATCTCAGGTACTTGGGAGGCTGAGGCAGGAGAATTGTGTGAACCCAGGAGGTTACATTGAGCCAAGATCAGGCCACTGCATTGCACTGCAGCCTGGGTGACAGAGATAGACTCCATCTCAAAAAAAGAAAAAAAGAAAAAAAAAAAAAAGAAAAGTATCTAGTGCTGTCAGGCACATAGTAGGTAGCTACTTTCCACCTCCAAATGTCTATTTATTTGGTCCTTCTGTGACCTCTGTCTCTTTACATTCATCTCTCCACTTCTCATTTCCATTTTCCGACCATTTCCACTATGTCTCATTTAGAGCAAACTTTTACCATTGTCTCTAACTTCTCTTTCATGAAAAATGAAAGAATATTTTAATCACCGTTGTCGTTCTTCATTTCCACTTGCATCTGTTTGACTGATTTCTGCTTCAACCCAGCACTTCTCTGACTTTTCCCCTTAACAATTCTCAAATTTATTATCTTTTTTCTCCAGCTCATACCTTTCACTACCTCCCACTTTCTCTGTCCCCGGTCCTCTAAATCAACCCCTTCTTGTTGTGATTTACTGCAGTCATTTCATATCCTTCGTACAGTCAAAATCCTCACAATACTCCTAAAGTCTCTTTCCTCACTCATCCTTTTGCATTTTCTTTCTCAAATCCACTCAAGTTTAATTCATCTTCATGATTCATTTGCTTGCACCCAAATCTCTGTACCTTTTTGCCTACTTAATCATTTAACCTATTCGAGTTTCCTTTCGCCTCTGTTACACTGTCATCTTTCAACTTTAACACATAATAATGAATGATGTTTCTTTGGACTTTTTCTTCATACAGATCCTAATGCTGGTGTATTTTAAGGATACTCTTCCTGGATCCCATTGACTTTAATTCTTTTCTAGAATCTTTTCTCTCTGGGAACCTGCTTTAGTTAGAAAAAGAAAACAAAATGAAAGGTCTGCAGGATCTGCTCTGTATTTATTCAAACTGAACTGCTAACGTGGTGGATTTGAATGTATATTACTGATGAAAAACGTAAGCTTTATTCTCTTCTATAGAGTACTGGGTCATTCTCCTTTCTGAAGCACACTATTTTTATCATTATTACTATATTTTGAACTGGTGAAGGCGGTATCAGCCTAGATTCACTGCTTCCATAACATTTACTGAATGCCTACTATGTGTTAAACACAAGCTATTTTTTTTCTTATTTAATGTTTGCAAGCCTGTGAATTTGGGATTTTTAATCCTTGTTTTACATGTGAAGCATTGGGAATACATAGAAAATGTACAGCCTGCAATATGTTGGCAATTTATATCAAATAAAGTCCTTCTAACTTCTTTGAGTGAGACAGTAAAGTGTAAGAGTTAAGAGTTGCATCCTTTATAACAGGGATGGTGACAACCACTTTGGAAGAGTGTTATTTGATATTTGTCTTCCCTCCTAAACTATAGTTTCCAGAAGGGCAGAAATTCTATCATTCTTGTTCTCTACTGTCTTATATATATTAGGCCATCAATGATTATTGTTGAATAAAGAAGTAAATAAATGAATGTATGCTAAAAGTACATTTTTTTTTTTTTTTGCATAAGACAACACTGGCTTTGAATTTCAGCTTTGCCATGTAACAAATTTGTGACCTTGAACATACTAGGGAGAAAGCAGATATCTTGTAACATTCTGCATCTTTAAACTTTGCTGATATATGCTGTCCTATACATGTTGTTTTTAATTTGTATGTAATATATTTTAGCAATACTCAGAGCCAGGAAAGCCAAGGTTCAAATCCCAGTTCTCCCACCCCCTAGCTTTAATGCCTTAGGCAAGTTAGCTATCTCTTCAAGTATCACTTCTTCATCTATAAAATGGAAATGATACTACCTCTCTACTATACTCATGGGCAGGTGCCAGTGTAGTTGATGATCTGGAATGAACACACGAGAATGCCTGATTTCAAGTCCTCTGTACTTTTTACTACACAAGAAGCCTCATTGCCCTGACTTCCAACTTTAAAGACTGCTCTCATTGTTTCTCCCACTATCTTAAGAGTTTTGTATAAACCTAGCTCCCAGGACCATGCCTGGATGTTTCTCAAGGAGGCAGAGGCCATCCCCCACTCCTGACCCAGTTACCAAGCTCTCTTTGATGACTATTGTATGATAATCTGCAGACTCAGCAAAGCTGGGGCTCTGCAGGTTCCCTGTGACTCCTGAAGCTTCAGCCTCACTCCATCTAATTCTAAGAGGCTTTCAAAGAAATCTATGGAAAGTTTTGGGAAGTCCCTCTGTCCTCCCAGATCTAGGGCATTTTTTTTTTTTTTAAACTAAGGCCCTGGTCTACAGAAAGAAAAAAAAATCTAAATTCAAAAGAGCTCCCTCTCTTTTCTCGCTCCTTCCCTCGCTCCCATTTCTTCATCCTCTCTTCTTCATGGAATACTGGGGAATACTATTTTCCAGCATATGGATAACTATGATGAACAAGACTTAAAATGGTCCCTGCACTCATGAAGCTTACAGTCTAATCAAGAGATAGACAGATACAAATATCAAAAATAAATATGTGATTAGAAGTTTTTAAGTGTGCTATGCTGAAAAGGTATATGGTTCTATGAAACAGAATAATGAGAGAGGTTTTCATTTATATTTTGGGGCTAGGTAATGTATCTCTGAAAAAGTCACAATTTATTAGAAACAAAGATGGATGAATAGGAATTGTTATGGCAAAGGAGAATTCCTATGGGAATTCCAGGCAGAGGGAGCCACAGGCACAAAAGGCTGTTAGAGAAAATGTGGCAAGTTCTAGGAACCAAACATTTGAAGTCAGTATGTCTGCAGAGTTGAGAGGGAAGACTGGAAAAGAATGAAGTGAGTCTTAGAAAGTTAGTTTGGCTGAAGCTATTCAGGCTTATGTAGGCCATGATAAGGAGTTTGGATGTATTTCTAATTTAAGTGGAAAGCTATGGACAATTTTAAGAAAGAGAATGACATAATCAGAACTATATTTTTTAAGTGTTACTTTGGATCTAGATAGAGGATGGACTGGTGTAGTGCAAGAGAGGATCAAGGAGTCTAACATGGAGCCTATCACAGCTGTCCAGATATGAACCCACCCGGGAGGCTGACTTACATTAAAGCCTTTCCCACCATGGGGTCCTGTAGCTTGCTCACCCTAACAGCAGAGAATTCATTACTTCCACTGAAAACTGGTTCTACTTGTGGTTGACCTTGACCAAGAGAATGTACTGATTTATATCTTCTTTATTGAATGTACCATATATTGATTCAAATTCCATATTCTGGGGAAGCCACATGGAGCAAACTTTATGAAAATTCTCCAAGTCTCTGAAGGCATCTATCTTTTTCTCCCTTTCAAGGAATGACTGTCTTGTCAGCTGCCTCTACTATTCTCTGCCTGGGTTTTAGAAGCAACAACAATGAGAAACAATAATTAACAATAACTTCCATTTACATGGAGTGCTTCTACATTCATCATCATGACATTTGATTTCCACAAAACCTTGTGAAGCCAACAGAACAGGAAATTTTAGCATCAATTAACAAATCACAAAGAGAACATTCAAAGATGTAATTTACTTGAGGTACGGCAGATAATAATTGGCAGAATCGAGTCCTGAATCAAGTATTACAACTCTTACTTCTATCTTCTTTTCATGGTAGAGTGAGCATGGAGCACAGATGGAGGATAAGCTCATAAGTTCTGGCATCGGATTGATTGTCTAAGTTCAAATTCAGACTCTGACATTTGCTGTGTGACCTTAGGAAAAGTACTTAACTTCTCTGAACTTTGGTTTCTTAATCTGAGAACAAGAGTGCCTACCTCATGCAGTTCGATGAGGATTAAATGAGCTAGTAGATTAAAAGCATGAAGCACAGTGTCTCACCTATATTAATAATCAATAAATATTCACTATTATCAACAGCTTCAATCATCTTGGTCAAAAGCCACAGTAGCAAAATAAAAGTTGCTGCAGATTTGCTATAAGGTGGCTTGGCTTAGAATAGTGACTCTGCTGCAGTATCATGAATAAAATCTTTAATCAGTGGCTTAGTTCTTTATCTGTAAAATGGAAATAATCATATCTAGCTCACAAAGTTGTTCAAAAAATAAATAACAAGAGAAATTGCCTAGCCCCAAGAATTATGTATTCAATACACATGTTACTTTCCTTTCTGTTTTAACATTATTTCCCCTAGTAAGACTTCTCTGATGCCCTAGACTGGGTTAGGTACTCTTCCTCTCTTTGCTCTTAGCACTTTGCACTTACCTGGAGCAGAACATAGCTCATGCTACAATTAATGTATCTACTCATCTGTCTCCACTTTGAGAGTGGAGTTACTCCATGTGCCAGTTAACTGTTCTAAGCACTTTGCAAATAACAACCTAGTTAATCCTCATGTGAACTCTGTGAAGGAGTTCATGATCATCCCCCTTCATACCAATTAAAAAATAAGGCAAAGAGAGATTAAATCATGTGTCTCAGGTTGTATGTCTGGCAAACAGGGGGTGCTCACTTATTGCTTCTTGTTGGATCATTCCAGATGCCATCCCCTGAAAGGGGACTCTCGTGGCTCTTTTCTCCAAATAACTCACTCATTCACCATAATTTCCACACTGACATTTTCTCCATCACAGCTGATTCACTGATTGATTGGTGGATAGACACCTCTCACCAAAATAAAAGCTTTAAGAAGAAAGGTATTTTACCTGTCTCGTTCATTGTTGTGGTACCCAGCTGTTAGGATAGTCCCTGACACATAGGAGGTGCTCAATGAGTATTTGCTGAGTAAATGAACAAATGCATGCACTTCTTAATTGCTTCATTGATACTGTAACTTAAAAACAATGACCTATGTCAAACCATATGTCTATACACTCTTGTGAAAGTTTGTAGCATTTTAAATTGGAGATGGGTTAGAGATGAAGAAGACTGTAGAAACAGGAAAAGAGTACTCCCTTCTGCTCTGCACTGAGTCTCCTGGACTCTAAATAGCATCACTTGTCTCCCAGCAGCTGGCCAGCAGGTGGGGAGAGACCCTCTGCTCCGAAGGCAGGAGGAGTTTCTGCTCAAGGTGACAGGAGCAAAGCAGGAGGAAACTGCACAGGAAGAGATATACTGCAGTCAAGGCATTAAACCTGAGGTTTGCGATGCCCACTAAGATTCACTGGGAAAAAATAATACTTGAAAAAAGTGTAATGTCTAGTATTTATCACCTCAGGCTACTGGTAGTTCATTCTCTCTGACATCTATGGAGATTCTTAGGAACTAATATATTGTCTAACACCTACCCTGCCACCAATGCACTATGCACTTTTTTTTTGTTAGCTTTCATTCTCACCTGTTATTCTCTAATTAATTTTTTGTTGCTTTAGGTCTTATGTAACCCATTAGCATGGCATTCAAGTTCTTAAACAGCCTTTCTGATCCGCTTTCTTGTTGTTTTTGTTCCTAGAACCCATGCCCTCATCAAAATAAATGTCCTTACTATTCTCTATACACATTCCAAATTCCCTGTTACCTCAGTCTAAATTGTTTTCCTCTGAACAGCACTCTGCATGCACATAGAGCAGCCATCCTTCAGGGGCATTTTTGATTCTCATCATAACCTATATATGTAATAGTTTTTTCCCCTTATATGTGATAATTCATCACATAACTTATTTAATACATTTAATAATTTCTATCACATATGCTACTGTAGTCAAGGTTGTAATGAGGATAACTATGATGAACAAGACTGAAAATTGTCCCTGCACTCATGAAGCTTACAGAAAATGTTCACTGTCTCTCCTATCACTTCCCCAGAGCCCACTGATGTTGATCTTGGCCATGGGACATGAATCGGCTGGTGAGATACTGGCAGTCATGATGCGAACCGAGGCTTGCATACTGGGGCTTCCTCTTTGTGTTTTTGCATTGCCGTGAGAGGAACACGCTCTGCCTTGCTTGCTGGTCCAAGTAGGGTGACAGACATAAGAGCAGACCTGGACCTAACCTGAAGTTTGAAGACAAGCCTAGCCAAGACAGCATAAATCATCAGATTCCCCCCGCCCACTTTCAGATGTTTGAATGAGAATAAAGGATTGCCACTTTAATCCACTGTTTCAAGGTGATTTTTATCACACAGCATTATTGTGATAACAAATGACTGGTGCAAAGTCTTAACTTCAATCCTATACTCTGAATTTCTTGAAACTAGAGACCATCTGATTCTTTTTTTTAACTCATGCAAAGTTCCAAGGCACAATCCTAATGCATATTTATTGAACAAATGAACGAATGAATAAATGAATGATTAAAGAGCTCTAGAGAGAGAGACTCAAGATCTAGGAGACTAATGTACTTGTAAGTTCAACAAGAATTTATCTAATACTTATTTCGTGTCAGGTATTGTGCTATAGGAAGGGAATTCAGTGGTAAACAAACAGGACTCGGCTTTTAGGTGCCACTCGGTGGTACAGGAAAGCTTGAGACCTGGAGATTCATAATGCAGTCAATGTGCAAATTCTGATTATCCTTGAATTGCATGCGAGGGCACCACAATAATCAGAGAAGTGGTAATGGATAGAAAAGAGCAGAAAGATCTCTCTGTCACTGATGAATCCCATTATCTCAGGTTAAGAGCAAATTCCAGACAGATGGGAGGCATTTGCATCCTTTTGAAGAAAATGAGTTAGTAAAAGCTGGCCCATGGGATAAAATAAAAAATCTCTGGGGAAAGGTATTGTTTGGTCATTTTCTGATTGCCAAATGACACCTCTGTCACTTTCTACTCTTATGGAGAGGCTATCAGCATGCTGAGTCTAAGTGTCGTTACCATCTGTGAATCAAAAACCTGGATCCATGACGACCGATCTGACAGTGTGGTCTCAACGAACACCAGGGACTCTGTCTGAACCTTGATAAAAGTTACTATATGTCTCTTTTCGGAGAGCTTTTCCTGATTGTTAAGCATTACTGTCACACTCTCCTGCCTACCCTACCTACTCACTCCAAAGGTGTTGTCAAGGAAGCTTGTGGCAGTTGCCTTCTATTTTCCAACAGCAGAAGCTCTAGGAACCAGAAGCATATTGCTGAAATTCTTAAATAATGGAAGGCATCAACAGAGCCAAGAATTAAGTCCAACTTCCCTTGCCCTGGGCACTAGCCACTGGGGAGCAAAATTCATCCAACATGTGCTTTAATATCACCCAAAATATTTTGTTTGTTTGTTGTTTTGTTTGTTTGTGTCTATCTTTTGAAAGAGCAGGTGGCTAGGACAGATGGACTAAAAGAAAAGGCAACTTTTGCAGGACTCAAAGGATGACACTCCAGAAGAAATGCATGGCTATCTCCACAACTAGCACCTTTCAGCTTGAAAGAAAAAGTTGGAACATTTTACCTACTTCCATATATGAGCAAATTCTAATGAGGACTGCCACTATAAAGAAATAAACTTTTAGCTTCGGTAGACAAACATTGATAGGGATCTATTTTCAAATCACTATGCAACTTAAATGTGATAATGTACCTGCAGCATTTAGTATACAATTTGGCCTATGGACCACCACAACCAACAACAACAATAATAATAATAATAATAATACCATTTATTAAGTATCTGCAATATACCAAGTAGTATGCTAAATACCGTGGAACCACCATCTCGATTAGCTCTCTCAACAACTTCAAGAGCTGGGAACTTTAAGTATCTTCATTTTATATATGAAGAAGCTAAAGCTCAGAAAGACAATTCCTTATCCAGAGTCACATAGCTAGTGATGGGGCCAGGATTTAATCTCATGCTGTCCCACTCCAGAGCTCCTGGTTACAGACACTACTCCACATATTCTCTCATAAACAAACATTATTATCATCATTGTCATCATTTTCAATCATAATCACAATTAACAAGTGCCATAGCAAGAAAAGTCACCGAATGAGGGGAGTTTTCTAGAATATTGTAACTAAAAGAAACTGTTGATTGAAATGAAGGTACAAATTTAAGTGTGACCTTTGGGGCAAAATTGTTGGAGATGGGTAAAAAGGAACAGAAAGTTCTTGTACAGTGCAAAATACTTGGTTGGTTTTGACTTCATGCAGTAGCCTAGGCAAGGTACTCCCAAGTCAATTGAAAAATGGAATGCAGTAGATTACGTTATGACCCTGATTCTTCACCTCTCCCCTATCTGCAACCTCTGCCCTGTGATTTTGTGTTTCCTCTTACTAAAGAGATACAGTCTATTCCCTCACCCTTTAAATCAGAGCTTGACCATGTGACTTATTTTGACCAATAGAATGAGGTAAAATCCATTGTGGGCCAGTTTTGAGCCTTGTGTGTCACTGCTTACTATTTTATGCTTCTGCAATCATCAGGTGCAAATGCCTGGGCCAGTCTACCCATCCCAGAAGGAGGATGAGAAATATGTGCAATAGAGATTTCCCAGGAAAGGGGCCTCAGCCAAGCCCAGCCTAGAAATGAATCCCAGCTGACTTGCAGGCCCATTGATGAGCCCAACCCTGATCAATAGACCCCCAACCAACCCACTGACATGTAAACTATGATTATAAATAATTGTTGTGTTAAGCCTCTGCACTCTGGGGTAATTTGTAATGCAGTAACAGGTAACTGACACAGAGAATAATCATACATACTCATACTCAATGCCTGGTATATAGTAGCTGTTGGAAAAAGAATAGTCCCCTTTCATACCTTTTTAACCAAACAGAAAAGTCCCAGCTCATCCCAGTGAAAGTCGTAAAATTATGTAAGATCATTAGTCACAAAGATGGAGGAAGCAAGCTCAGGAATACCATTTATCAATGCTTCTACTTTGGCTCCTTGCTGAGGTGAGAGAAACAAAGCAATGGCTGGAATACGGAGCTCCTACACTAGGGACATGCAGCTCCACCATCGACACACAGGTGGCCTGAGAGCCTCAGAGCAGGTTTTCCTGGAATAATTATTCCCATTGCCATGATCGGTTATTTCTATGTCAAAGTCACTTCCCCTTTTCACTCCTGAGTTTTCATTTCTGTAAAAATGACAGTGCTTGATTTAGCTCTTGGAAGAGGATGGGGAGTTTGGGGAGGAATAGAGACATGGAGGAGAAAGTTAAGGGAGGAAGGGAACAAAATTCGTCACCAAAATGGGCTTTACAAATATAAAGTGCTAATGAAATTCAAAATAACAACAATAATTGTGCTTCCAAGGCCGAAGCCTCACATTTCTCACCATGAATATTCATTCCCTGTTATCTTTCTAAGGAATGAAAATTGGGTGAAATAGCAACATGCATGTAGGGTGTTGTTGTTACGTGTGTGTGTGTGTGTGTGTGTGTGTGTGTGTTTTCTCTTCTATTTTTACCTGGACCAAGGCCAGCATCTGGCTTGAGACTATTTCAGTATTTTTGTAGCTATGATTTGTTTCACTGGGTGTCCATGTGCAGACGTCTTAAGTGGAAGATGCTTAAAATGTCAATAAAATGTAAGTTAAAAAGAAGTGTATGGGTGGGGGAGCTGAAACAACTCTTTTTGTAGCTGCTAAATGGTCACAGGTGGAATATCACTTTGACTTAGAGCTTGGCAGCCAGGAATCTGGATGAGGGGATCCAATGCATCTTTTATCAACTGGCATGGAAGATTAGGAGGCTGTGCTAAGTTATCAATAGAGGGGTGCAATTTGCTGGTGGAAGTGGTCTTCAATTGACTTCTAAGTACAGAAGTTACATTTGTGCCACAACAGTATAACCAACTGTAGATGTATATACAATGGATTCATCTGTTCAGGTTGTCATAACAAAATCCCACAGGCTGGGTGGTTTAAACAACAGAATTTTATTCTCTCACAGTCCTGGAGGCTCGAGGTCCAAGATCAGGGTACCATCTGGGTGAGGGCTCTCTTCCTGGTTTGTAGGTGGTACTTTGTGTCTTCACATAGCCTTTCCTTGATACATGTGCTCAAAAAGGGAGAGAGAGAAAGGGAGAGAGGGAGGGAGAAAAAGGGAGGGAAGGGAAAAGAGAGTGAACGAGGGAGAGAATGAGAGAAAGAGAGATAAGAGAAAGATATCTTCTACTTATAAGGTCACCAACCCCATTAGATTAGGGTCCCATTATCATGACCTCATTGACTTTTACCTTCTAAAAGCCCTGTCTCCATATACAGTCAATAAGCTTCAACATAAAAATTTTGAGGAGGCATAGTTCAGTTCATAGCATACAATATAGTCAACTGTCTCTGCCAGCTCTTGTGAAGGCGGCATGGTTCCTGTTGTCACCAAGGAGAAAATAAAAGGCTCATATAATCCATCTATGATGCAATAACTGGCCTATATTTCATGGCTTGGAGTCAGAATGTCACCATTGAGAACACCACTCCTGAGGGGGTTGGAGGAATTGGGGGAGGAGTGGAAGAGTGGAAAAGAATCACATCCTTCAGCAAGTCCATGGGAACAACTAGGGCTAGGGGCTGTGAGCCAAGGGGCTGGCTCCCTTTCCCAGGTCTCTGAAAAGTAGGAAGGTTTGCCTAAGTCAGTGATCAGGCAGACAGCTTTGGAAACAGGGGAGGGACCTTGGGGAATTGCTGAATGCTGGTGTGTTCTGGGAGGAAGAGGCACCTAGGTCAGTGGACTAATGGGGTGCGTGGGAGAGAAAACATAATAGTATGACATATGTTGACATATTAAGACTTCCTAAAATACAGCTCTGATAATGTCATCCGCAACTTTGCTCACAAACTGTCAGCAGCTTTTTGGTACCTTTATAATAATGGCATTAACATGCATTAACATGGCATTCATGACTCGGCTTGCTGTGGTTTCAACTAACTCTTGCAGTTTTCAGGGGATGACAGTCATATCTAACATTTAGATATTGCTTATTTGGAACAGCCACTCTCATGAACCCTCTACACATAAAAACTCATTTAATTCTGATAACAAGCCAAGAAGGTAGGAGTTGCTATCCTCATTTTAAAGGTGAGAAGAATGGGGCTTATGGAAGTTCATGACTGAGCCGAGGTCACATAGCTAGTAAACACGAGCTGGGATTCAAACCCAAGCAGTTTAACTCCAGGGCAATAATAATAAATATTACATATATGCTTTTTATGCACTTT